CCTGTCTCAGCCTCACGAGTAGCTGGGATTACAGGAGCACGCCACCATGCCTGGCTAGTTTTTTGTATTTTAGTAGAGACAGGGTTTCACTGTGTTGCCCAGGCTAGTCTCAAATGCCTGACCTCAGGTGATCCACCCGTCTCAGCCTCCCAAAGTGCTGGGATTACAGGAGTGAGCCACTGTGCCTGGCTATTGTCATTTATTAAGGAAAATATCATACACTCACTAACATACTCATTTTAGCAAGTTCAAATCATTTACAAGAGTATGAAGTTATAAGTAAAAGAGCTTTTCCCCCAATTCCATTCCCATCTAAAACCACTCTAACAATATGGTATGTATTCTTCCAAATTTTATTCTTTTGTTCTGTGCTTATACAAATATATATATTGTATATATATTTGATCATCATATTAGATTTTAAGGTTATTAATTTCTGGAAGAAGCAGCAAAATTAAATGCTGTTCTAACAAGAATAACATATGAACTGTATAGCTGGGATATGTTTTAAAATTTCACTTCATTTTGGAGCAATGTGTTGAAGTTTAGATCAACTATGGACTTGAGGACATAAGAGAAAACTGTTCAGTCCTTGAGTCTGTAGGGATTTAGACCTTCACAGCTGTAAACATTAGGTCTAATTTGGCCTGAGCCCCTTAGAATGGCAATTGATCTTCAGGACCAAATCCTAATAACCCAGACCAGTCCAAATCAAAATCTGACCCACTTCAAATAAATCTGAAAGATTTTTTGCTCTGTATTTTACTGTTATTCTTGTTGATTTTAGTAAATTTATTCCATCCTTTTTGGAAGAAGTATAGTTGTTGCCCCTACCATAGCTCTACATAATGTGCTTTAAATCATTATTTTTATAACATAGATTACTAGAATTCATTCACACTAAAGAAAAAAATCAGAAGATTTTGGTCTGTAGTTTTGATTCTTCTTTCTGTATAGGTGACATCACCAGAACAAAATGTCTCTACGTTGAGCCCTATTTCTACCTTTTCTTTGAACTCAAGAGATGAAGACTTCATGGTAGAATTCTCTGAGCCGTCCCTGAAAGCAAGAACTTTACCTGATGATCTTCATTTTCTCAACTTGGAGGGTAGTCGTTACCATATTGCTCTAATATCTGTCTATTCATTGAAGAGATGAAATTTTTTATTTGAGAGATTATTACACTAAATATATCTTAGAACCAGATTCAGTGTCATACCCCTTGAAGCCTTTCCATAACCTTTCTTCCTTTGAACTTTTTCTATCATAGATAGCTATTCCAGGTACAATATTCCCTTCTAGCTATCTAGTTCCTTCTTGTTTCTCCTCCCAACTTTGTCAACACAGAGCCCTGAAAGTCTCTTCTACCATTGGTGGTACTTCTCACAGCTGTAACTGCAGCATCTGACCCCTTTACAGTCCCTTCCTGTTCCAGAGGAATGACTGATTGCAAATGTCTCATCAACACCATTGGTTGACCTTAGCATAACCTCTTAGTTTCTCTTTTTGCTTTGGGATCCTGAACTCTTCAACTGCTGTTCCACACTTGCATTCCTAGGACTCTGGATTTTCATATATTTTGGCCCTTCACTATGAGTCAGCTTCTGCTTTTTGATGAATATAATACTATTCTCTAGGATCCCTTTCACTAAAATTTCTTTTCTTCTCTCTTTTCTTATAATCTTATCAATATATCTTCCCCTGATTCTGAATTTATGTTGGGTGAGGGGTGAGTTGTAGATAATTTTTTTGATTTTGGATGGATGATACAAAAAATTTTGTAATGTGAATTGGTAGTTGGGTTAGAGAAGGTTTTATGGGTGTGCTTGGTAGAAGACAACAAGGTAGAGAAGAATCAAATACACGGGAGTGGGTATTCAAGAACAAGTGATATGGTAATGAACAGTAGATGATTTTCACAGTTGTACCATGAATCTTTTAGTTTAATGGATTTTTAACTTTTCTGTCAGTGTTACTTGATTGACTTGTTAGAATTACAGCATAGCACTTTATAAAAGAATACTCATTGGCTCACCTACTGCTCTGCTACTTTCCAGATGATCTCCAGAATGTATTTCCAACAAAACAAAAACTCTGTCAGGAAGGTACATTATTATAAAATAGGTATCCATAGTATTGTCAGATAAAAACTATCAGCTTGCATAATTCTGATGCAGTATTATTCATTTGTTTATATATTCAACAAATATTTATTGCTTCTTAGATTTTTAGGAATATATCACTAAAGCTGCTGACACAGAAAGAATCATTAAACTCTTTCAGACAGAATTTGCCATGAGTTTACCAGAATTCTACTCTTATCAAACACCATTAGATCAAAGTAAAGCTAAAATCTTTTTTACTCTGAAGGGTAACATAATTCATGAGTGTAAAAATATCTAAAGGAAGTTACAATCACATCGTCTGGATTCATGAACCATGAATTTCAGTCTCTGGAGAAAGAATGAAAGTAGTTATAAAAAACTAGTCTAGGTTCTTATCCTGACTCTGCCACTTTGTAGTTATGCTACCTCTAAGCCTTTGTAATCTCATTTGTAAAATGAGAATGATGCATTTTTTGGTTGTTGTTAGCTTTAAAGTGCTTTGAAAATGTTAAGTGCTATATAAACATAATTTAGTAGTTAGGAAAAAAATCATTAGTTAAGGAGGAGAAGAAAAAGAGGGACTTCAACGACCCTAAAAATGTTTCAGTATATATGAATTAAGCTTTGAAATCTTTATTTTTTGAGATTAAAACCATTAATTTTTTTTAAGGAAATAAAATAATATGATTTTTTTTTCAGGGCAAGTTGCTACTTTTTGCTTTTGTATACTCACTGTTTTCTAGAGCCTAGGTGATAACTAGTAGAACATTTTTATTTAATTAGCATTTTGTTTTTTCAGGGATGAAAAAATCCTGTTCTCTGGAGAATGAGAACCTTCAAAGGCTTTCATTAGTAAGTAGGACCCAGGTTCCACTTATTACTTTGCCACCTACTGATGGGCCAGCTGACTTAGACTCTCATTTGTGTGTGATCAACTCTAACACATACAAGTCTTCTGGTTCCCCCATGCTCAACTTGTGTGAAAAGTCAGCAGTTCTTTCTTTTAGCATTGAGCCTGAGGACCAAAATGAAATCTCTTTCTCTGAAGAATCTGGGGAAGTGACTCCAGGGGATGTTTCACTTCTCAATAATATATCTACTCAGAGCAAGTGGCTGAAATATCAAAACACATCCCAATGCAACGTGACTACTCCAGACAGAGTTGATAAGAGAATAACTGATGGCTTTTTTGCTGAGGCTGTTTCTGGGATGCATTTTAGAGACACAAGTAAAAGACAGAGTGATGTTGTCAGTGAAAGCTCTTTGAACTCTGTGCATTTGCAAATGATAAAAGGCATGCTCTATCAACAGCAGCAGGATTTTAGCAGCCAAGAATTGGTTTCCAGAAAGAAAGTACTTTCTCTGAATTTAAAGCAGACTTCTAAGACAGAGGAAATTAAAAATGTATTAGGAGGGTCTATCTGCTACAACTATAGTATAAAGGATTTACAGGTGAGGAAATGTACCAGTCTTGTACATTTTTCCAATAGTTATTGTCTGAATTTCAACAAAAGAATTAACAAAATATACTGCATAGGAGCAATTTGAAGAGATGGCTTTTTTTGATCCTAACTCTGAGCTGCAGTCACATCATCTTTTACTTAAAATCTCTCGTAATAGTAGTGAACATTGAATGAAATGATTTATTTGAAAGTATCTGGTACAGTGTCTGGTACATTATCAATACTTAATAAGTGATAGCTCCTATTTTTGTTTCCATCACTACTACCATTACAATGATTGTTTTTACTTTTGACTGTCAATTGTGTTTGCTGATTAAGTCATCATTAGGGTAAAGGTGCATCTTATTTCATGTTAATTGTGAATAATCCTTATTATAGTCATAACCAGAAATAAAGATACATAATGATCCATTCACATCAGTTAAACTTTTCCTAGCAAAAAATATATAAAAACTTATTAAGGGGCAGATAAGAAAAATTACTCTTATTTAGGGTTAAAAATGCCATTCATAGGTATTCTTGCTGTATTTGTTTTCTCATTTAAAATTTGAAAGTAATTTTCAAGAATCCTGGAAATCAAAAGAATTAATTAAAAAAATAAGTCTGTGAAAAATAATTTACTTTTTAGTAAACGGTGTTTTTCTGGAGTTGCTATGATAACTTGAATTATTCCATTGCAGGAGATAAGTGGCTCTGAGCTATGTTTTCCAAGTGGGCAGAAAACAAAATCTGCTTATCTTCCCCAAAGGCAAATTCACATACCAGCTGTTTTTCAGTCTCCTGCTCATTATAAGCAGACTTTCACATCTTGCCTCATAGGTATGGCTGTTGAGTTTTTATTGTATTACGATTGCTGCTTCATGTAAGTAGTAGAATTGTGAGAGTATGATACATTATATTGTGAATTTTCATACTAAATATCTCATTCAAGATTTGTTATTTTTCTTATGTTCTAGTTTTTGAACAGTAACTTTTATTCTAATTTCAGATCAAAACTGAGTTTTAAAAGTGGGAGATGACAATCTTCTTTTTTTTTTTTTTTGAGACAGGATCTCACTCTGTTGCCCAGGCTGGAGTGCAGTGGAGCAG